TCGTAGCAATAATGATTGATCATTCATGAATATTTACGACTTAAGAAACGATTCCTCCTTGGGAGCTTAGTGCACTCTCCTTCACAGGCTAAAGAAACATCGGAGGAAAAAGAGGAGCAAATGGCTGAATTTCAGAAACACAAAGAGGTGTTACTGTCCTTATTTGATGAGAAACGTCATGAACATCTTCTCAGTAAAGGTAGGATGAAGTTGATGAATATGACATTAAAATATAATTATCTAAGGCTATCTAAAATTATTTGGGAAAATAGAATGAAAATTGAACTTGTATTAGGTGTTTATGTTCAGTTTATTTTGAAGACATTTATAAATCTTTTTTCATGGTACATACCAGGTATTAGGAAAACCAAGATAAATATAACATATTTATTGTCAAGTTGTTTATAGGCGACTAAAAAGTGAAAGATGATATGTATAATTGTAGGTAGGACAGTAGAGGCAGGAAGGGGAATGGACTACTGTAGTATGAGGACAAAGTTGGCTTTTTGGAGAAAATAAGTTTCACAAGTAGACCGGAAAGAGTATTTTTTTAGGCTTTGGTTATTATTGCTAATGTTTGATAGTGTTGAGTCAATTCCAACTCCCGGTGACCCATGCATTTCAGGATACAACTATTTCAGTGTTTTCTTGGTCGTAGTCATAATGGAAGCAGGTTGTCGGGACCTTTCTTGTGTAGAGTAGTTGGGTGGGTGGAAGCACAGATGTGCTCAAGTTGTTTGCACTGTAGGTGGGCAAAAAACCAAACCAAACCCTAAGAACAACTTAAGGAGTGGCCAAGTGTTATTTTTCTCTGCAGCTAGGTATAAAAGTGTTTATAAGAGCACACGTAGGATTTTAGGTCATATTTATGCACCTTGAAGCCAAGCAAACTATGTAACTTTATCTAAGTGAATTTAAAACACTCTTGAAAACATCTAAGGCAATTCGAGAAATTACCTTTCAAGTGAAGTTTTTCCCATAAGTATTTTCTACATCCTATTATATATACTTAACATTTTAGTCATTGTTGTTATCAGATATAGGTTGAACCCAAAACCGAACTTACGGCCATTGAGCGGACTCTGGGTTATAGGAGCCCTATAGGAAAGAACAGACTGCCCTTTGGGCTTGTGCATCTTTAAACCTTTACAAAGTGGACAGCCTCAACATTTACTTGTGTAGCAGCTGATTGGTTTGAATTGTTGACCTTGTGGTTAGCAGTTCGATGCGTGGGCCATCATGTCACCAGGGCTCCTTAGAGATACAGCTTGCATTTAAAATATAATATCAAATTAGAGGTTTTCAGATGCAAGCTAAGAATAGCAATTTAAAATAAAATCCCGTTGTTTTCTAAATAATATAGAGCATTTAATTATTAAAGGTAATGTTGCCATTAAATGAAAATACTATGTGTTTTGCAGGTGAAAGACGGCTGTCATACCGAGCACTTCAGGGGGCACTGATGATATATTTTTACAGGTAAAAGCCAAGCAGAAAAAGGGATGCAAAAGTTGAAATTGAATATGAAATCATAGATAATACAACAAGTATAAAGTTTATAAGCTGCATCCATAGTTTATTACCGTCACTTAGTTTTAAGAGGAAACAGAAAGGTTGTAACTTATCCCTATATTAGGTTGAAAAAAACACACATCCATTAGATATTCTTTTAATGAAATTCTACACGGTATCATGTGACATACAGAGTCCTGCTTGCACTCTGGGTTACACATTGGGCTGCTAACTGCAAGGTCAGCAGTTCAAACCCACCAGCCACTCCACGAGAGAAAAATGAGGTTGCTTGCTCTCTGCCTTATGGTTGCTAACTGGGAAGTCAATGGTTCAGAGCAACCAGCTGCTCTTCGGAAGAAAGACAGGCTTCCTGTTCCCTTAATGAGTTAGTTTTGGAAACCCACCAGGGCAGTTCCACCCAGTCCTATCGGGTCACTATCAATCGCTTTGACTCAACTGCAGTGAGTTTTGCTTTAATGGGTTGGAATGGGCTCAATGGCGTTTGGGGTTTATTGTGAAACCCACAGTTTCCTAATGAGTTAAGGCTTATTTTGTCTCAGAAACTCAGTCACAAAATATATTTTGCCTTTCAACCATATTGTAAGGTTTTTCCTTTTGTGGATAAAGGGGAATCACCTTATAATCATTAGTGTTAGTAGGAATTTCATAGAAAATGCTTTTCCCAGCTAAAGTGTTTGAGGTATCCCTCAAATGTCCACCTACTTCACAAGTGTGCCAGTTTCATTTTGATTTCAATATAAAGGAACAATGGATAGCACACTAGCAAAAAGGGCTTCAGATACCTGTTTACTGGATCATATTTCATTCTTTGAATTTATTTATTTTTATCCTCCCTAATAGGTTTCTTCACAAAAATATTTTTGTTATTTTCCTAAACTCTTCCTAAATGTCAGCTATTCAAGCTTTGTGTCCTAAACTTAAAATGTACCCAGGGACTTGAGCATTACATAAATAAGGAGGGGAAAAATCGAGATAGGTAATAAAAAAATTCCTTGTCTCTGTGTTGGATTATTGCTGGCTGGAAAAACATATGCCTGCCTTTTCATTGATACTCTATGCTGCGTGTGGTAGTCTACAACTGCCCAGGACCTAAGAGGCAACAAGGACTAAGTATGCAATACATGTTCTTTCTAACGCTGTGCATTTATCTGAATAGATTTGTTTCATCCCTTTAGGGAAGAGCCGAGATTCCAGATCCCTTTCCAGCTGCTGACTTCCCTAATGGATATAGACTCACTCATGACCAAATGGAGATGTGAGTCCCCCTCTCCTCCACCTGCCCCCACCAGCCCATCGCCCTGTTAGTTCCCTTTCCTTCCTGTTTGCTTTCATTTCTCTCTGTGACGGGGAGTTGAGTCGTCTCTGGCTAGCCCCCCTCCCCACTTTTAAAACCTGCCTGGCATTTCTAAGCCATAACCTGGTTAACACAGTAAACCCCGTGCCTAGAGCACACAATACGCGTGAGGGACCATGAGTCTTTTAAGTTTATTTTAAATCAGAAAGAAGAAAATGAATTTTAGGTCGAAGTAAAGCAATGCTCACATTTGATACTAAGATTCTTGCTTTTATGTCAATGCAGTTGCAAAATAGACTCAGTTATCTGATTTTATTTGAGGAACGCACTGCCAACGCGCTAAGGGCTCAATAAAGTCATAAGGTGGTCTGCGTAGCCCGATTGTGCTCACAAGCTCAAAGCCATGTGGAATGGTGTAACATGCACACAACTGAATTAAGTGAGGTGTCAGGCACCTTAACAACCTCATTAGGCTCTCACACATGAACCTTCCCTGTGGCTACTTTGTTCAGAAGCAAGAATCATTACAACCCCTTGTTTGGAGAACACGTAGGAACTGACAGAACACTCTCCATGGAATAATGTTTGTGTTTGCGTAGATAACCACGTGTGCATGGTGCACAGAATGCTGGGCAGCAAGGCTGGCACTGGGGGATCCTCGGGCTATCACTATCTGCGCTCAACTGTGAGGTAAGACCTGGACAGTCCACCCTCTCCTCTTGGGGAGAGTCCCCATTTCTTTGTTTCCCATATAATCCAGCATTTTCTAGAGAAAAGTCATTTAAATTTCCTTCTATCTGAACTTCCCAAGACATATTTATGGTTCAATTAAGATGTTACAGAACCCCTGGTGGTATAGTGGTTAAACATTGGTCAGCAGTTTCAAACCTCCAGCCACTCCTTGGGGAAAAGATGGGGCTTTCTACTCCCATAAAGAGCTACAGCCCAGGAAGCTCACAGGGGCATTTCTACCGTGCCCTACAGAGTCAATATGAGTTGGCATCAACTTGATGGCAGTGAGTTTGGTTTAAAGATGTTAGGAAATCTCTGGCCAATCTACATGGTTGATGCGCTCCTCTGCTAAACAAGATGTTGTGAGTTCAAGGACTCCCAGAGACACTTTGGAAGAAAGACCTAGTGGTTCACTTGCAAAAAAATAAAAATAAAGCCAGTCATTGACAACCTTACATGGCAGTGTTATATTATGACACACAGGAGTGGTCACGAATTGGACATGATGTGACAACATTTTATTGTTATTTCTGCTGTTTGTTATAAATTTGAACCATTGAAACTCTTTATATAAAACCATTAATTGCTAAAGTTCATCATTTGACCTGGACAATGGCTGAATGACCTGAGAGAAAATTAAGGAGTTAATATTGGTTACATCTAGGCAGAAGTGTCTTCTGTTCATTCCTTTTTTTTTCTTCGACTCATTCTTACTAAGAATTTGATTAGATGAAAGCGTCTATCATTAAATTTCATAAATATTCTCACAATGACTTGAATAACCCATCTAAAAATATTTCCTCATATATTGGTTCCTGATATGACTCTTTTGTTATGACTCATATTCCAAAAACCACTTCCATTTTCATCATAAAATGACATTTTCATAGTGTTCAGATGTCACCAAAATTCAAGAGCTCTCAGTGGACCTATTTCTCACCCTCAGGGACCCTACAGGACAGAGTAGAATTGTCCGACCGGGTTTCTAAGGCTGCATCACTTTGTGAACGACCAGAGCCACCTCTTTCTGCCACTGAGTCGCTGGGTTGGTTCACAACACCAATCTGTTTCGTAGTAAAGTGCTCAACATCTATTGAGCTATGAATATATGACATCAAACATGCTAGCATGCTTTCTAGGATATTTTCATTCATCATTTTGTTTAATCTTCACACACTGACAACTAGACAGACAGATTTACTGGAAGGAAGAAAGGAAGGAAGGGAGAAATATTGGGGCATGTTGGAAAAGTTGTCGGTACCCTAGGGAAAGCATCATCAGCTCACCAATGAGCTGAATATTCACATTATTTTCACTCCTGTCTTACCACCTGATTTACTGATTTTTAAAAATTCATTAGCTTTAATGTCCACCAGTTTTTATTTTAACTCTCTGAGAGTTTTTTTATTTTTTTAATTTATTTTATTTTAATTTATTTTTTTAATTCACTAGTTTAATTTTTACCATATTTACAGGTTCTCTTTCTCTGAAAAACACACGAAATAGAAGATAGTAGCACAAAAATAAGCCTAGGAGTGGTAGTGGGCATAATCACCATGAGGGGATGATTTCCAGTGCACCCTCATCTGACTTAGCCCTCAGGTCAAGAAAGAAGGAATTGTAGTCGATATCTTACACAGTAAGAAACAAAGGCACTGAACGTTTTAAAAATGGATCCAAGTTCACAATGATTGTGTACGGTGAGCATGAAGATTTGAACCTAGATCTATTTGAGGTATAGGATAATGTTCTTACTCAATAAGACTGAATATTGTTAAAAAATAATTGATTATCAAACACCAAAGCAAACTTAAAAACTTTTCTAGATATGCGTTATCAATATGACTTTTTCAGTGTGTTAAGCCATCATGGCAGCTATTTTTCAAGCACTTTGCTGTTGAGAAATATTTCTCAATGAACAATGAAGACATTTATATGCTTTAAATTCATTAGTTTGCCTTCTATCATACACAATTCGATAATGAGGACATATTCTTATCTCTGACAGCAGCATGACAATAATACAACTCTAGGTTCCAAGCAAGATCAGACTGGCCTATATCAAGCAAACACACAATACTCATATGGGCATGGACTTTGGAGAGGAAGTAATAAAAAAACCGCAAGCTTAATGCTAATATTACATAATTCAATCCAACTCATAGCAACTCCATATGACAGTGAAGCTGTTCCCCAGTGATGAGTTTTCTTGGCTGGGATCTTTGGGGAAGCTCATTCCCAGGTCTTTTTCCCATGGAGACATTGGGTGGGTTTGCACTGTTAAGCATTTTTAAGGACTGGAGTACACTTAGCTGCTGCATCCCCTACATATAAGATCTATGCATAAATGAATAATGTTTAATATAACATTGAATATTAATCACTCATGAAAAATATAAACATAGGTATTTCCTGTTGATGAGTCTAAAATGTCTGTATATGTCCTTTTGTCCAGTGACAGGTACAAGGTGTTTGTAGATCTATTTAACCTTTCAACCTATCTGGTTCCAAGACACTGGATACCGAAGATGAACCCGATCATTCATAAGTTCCTCTACACAGCTGAGTACTGTGACAGCTCATACTTCAGTAGTGATGAATCGGACTAAAAATCATCTGCAAAGCCTGTGAAGAGCAATTCTTTCACACTGTATGTATCTTTCTCGACGTTCTCATGAGCCCATAAATGTCCCTAATAGACAGATATACATATAGTGACTATGTGTGTACATACTGAAGCACTGTAATGTTCTGATTAAATCTGATCAAATTTGAGATAAGATTGAGCAGAAATAATTCAGGTAGATCATAACATTGTACATAAAGCATTATTCTATTAAAATTTTATTCTCCTGATTCTCTACTTATTCCCTTAATGTAATGTTTTTTCATCATTTTAAACTTTATGATTCTAAACCAGCTATTTCAATCTTTTATGCAATAAAATTATTTTATACAGTGCCTTTATTCTATTAAATTTTATAAATAATAAAAATCAGTTTTTTGTCACGTATTGTTTTTGAAACATTACTTTTAATTGCTGGAATGCTTGGCAATTCGAGTTTTGTCTAACTCCCAAACCAAGCTCACTGCCTCTGAGATGATTCAGACTCATATCAATCTTATAGGACACCTTTGGGTCTCTGGGGCCGTTTACATCTTCATAGGAGTAGACAGTGTCAGCTTTCTCCCTCAGACCCGTTCTTTCCTCGGGCTGAGTCACATCCTCTAGTTCCTTTGGCTGCATGGAGTGCAGTAGAGCTCTTTCCCGAGCTCTGTGTTTGTGGAGTGAGCAGGGTGAGTAGCCAGTCTCTACACAGAATATCCTTATCAGAAGAAAGCAGATGTAGACAGACGAATCCACGATCTGATTTATTTTTAATAAAAATTAATAGACTAAGAATTCGGATGAGACATGAGCTCTATTTATCTTTTAAAAAAAACTTTATTTCTAATATTGGCTCATACATCTCTATTATGGAAAGGGTTTATAATATCATTCAAGAGAGTAAAATGCACACCAATTTTGACTTAGGGTAAGTAATTAGCCTAGGGGGCAACAAGTTCTTGATGGAAAAGAATGATTCTCTGGTCTTCCAATTATAGAGTTTAATTACGATAAGGAAAATGTTGTCATTTGTCTCATGTTGTTTGTCTCTAAAATGTTGTCACTTGTCTAGTGTTGTATGTCTCTAAATTAAATTTAATGGTTTTTGTTGACATTACTTTTGTGCTTATGTATGCATACACATAGTATCAGATGGTGGTTAAGCTGAGAAAATACAGAGGCAAGTATTCAAAGAACTCACCTTGAAATAACAAGCATGAGTGAAAACCCTGGGTCTTTTCATACTAATGACTTTACTCTGCTCCAGAACACTTTCCCCCTTAGAGCCTGTGTTAGTCTGGGTACTTTAGAGAAACAAATCCACAGAAACTCATGTATAAGAGAGAGTTTTATATAAAGGTTAAGTGTGCATCAAGAAAACATTCCAACCCAGTGCCGCCCAAGCCCACAAGTTCAACATTGATCCATATGTCCAACACCAATCCACAAAGTCCTCCTCCATCTCACAAAACACACGCAATGATGCCAACTGCAGGAGGAAAGCTGAGACAGTGAGGATGTAAACAGCTCAGCACTGGCAGGGGTCTCCACAGGGCTGCTCCAGCACCCAGGGCTGCATCGGGGTAGGTCCATGTGGCTTCTCTTTGGGGATGTCTTGCAGGAAGTCAGCCTTGCCAGCTGAAGCAGGGAACTGCTAAGGCAGCTGCACCCTGGTAAGGCAGCTGCACCCTGGTCTGGCCATCACAAAGCAAGAGATCCGAGAACTAGAAAGGTGAGGCTCACGGAGCCATTTATCCCTCCACCCTTCAATTAACCCCACCTGTGTTTATCGGCCAGGTTGACACAGTAAGCTACCTCAGCTTCTTACAGGGTCACTTTGAGTCACAATCAACTGGAAGGCAGTGATTCTCTATATCTGTCCCAGACTTACAAGCTTTTGGTATTTCATGTAACACAAAGCAGTATAGGTTAGATTTCTTCAACATTTTGAACATAGATGAATAGTGTTTTGCAATCTTCGAAGAAATGCATCTTCCTCATGCTATCATTTATTTCATTTATTTCTTTACATCTATATGTTAAATGTGACTGTTGTTAGTGGTCTGAGACCCATTGTGACCCTACATATATGGAAGGAAATATAGCCTGGTCCAATGCCAACCCTAAAATTGTTTTTATGTTTGAGTTCATTGTTGCAGCCGCCATATCAATCCACGGCATCGGGGCTCTTCCTCTTTTTTTTTTTTTTGGCTCCCCTTCTATTGATAAATGTAAGAATTTTGATTAGACATGAACTTTATGGGACTTGCCTCAGCTGACAACAAACATGTCCGAAGTTATGTAAGATGAAGTCTCTAAGGAGGATTCTGGCTGTTACTTATTCCAAGACAGATTTGTTTGCCCTTGTACAAATACATGGCACTTTCAACATTCTTCACCAACACCATAATTCAAATGCACCGATTCTCTTTTGATCTTCCTCATTCAATGTCCAACACTAAATATAACGACATGTGCATAAAAGGCAAATGAAACTCCCACCGCTTGGGTCAGGAGCCCCTAAATCGTCAAAGTGACATCCTTGCTCCTCAACACTTTAAAGAAGTCTTGGGCAGCAGATTTGCCCAATGTAACATGTTTGATGTCTTCGCGGCTGCTTCCACACATTGATTGTGGATCCTAGCAAAATAAAATCTTTCACTCCAATCTTACGGTGTTGTCAATTGGTCCAGCTGTGAGAATTTTGGTTTTCAATACGTTGCGTTGCAATCCATAAGGCTGCAGTCCTTGATTTTCATCAGCAAGTGCTTCAAATCATCTTTACTTATGGCAAGCAAGATTGTCATCTTCATAGGTGGGCAAGGACAAGCTGGTTGCTCTACTATTAAAAAACTCTTCATCAGCAGCCTTTTCTCTGAGCCCCCCTGAACCCTTAAAAGGGAAATCATACAAAGAAGGTAGTGTCTTAAATAATTATGCCATCTAGCAGTATTATGGTATTTGAAATTTGTCTGACTCCCTCTTATTTTCAGCGGGGCAGAAGTCACTTTTCAATAGGAAAACTGAGCAAAAATCAGGGTGGTTCATGGTGCAACAGACTGAATAGGCACAGGGGGAGCTGGGAGCTGTCTGTTCTTCAAGCCTTGAGGGCACAAGGAGTGCATGTAGGGCTGAAGTCAGATTGACCGACTGATAACAGATGAGTGTTGTTTTTTGGAGTATCAGCTATTTGGGAGTACAGGACACTCAGTTTAGTTGCTCATCCCCACTGGTATTGAACCTGGAGGTATATGAAAAATTCAACAAACTTGAGCTTTTTTGTGTGTGCCATTATTTCAGGAACTAACCAAACCAAACTCAACGGTTTTTGAGTTGGTCCCCACTCACATTGACTTTCTAAGATAGAGGGAGACTGTCCCTGTGAATTTCCAAGATTATACGTTCACGGGAATAGAAAGTTGGCGGGTGGCTTCCATCTGCCATCTTTGTGGTTAGCAGCCCAGCACACAATCCATTATGCTACCAGGCATCCTTTTGGGGAACAGGAAGATAACATTATTGCAAGAGGACTTTTCCAAGGGGCACAGTAGAATGTAAGAAAAGGATTATGTCTTTTATTATAACAGAACAAATGCTCATTCAGAATTCCACAAGATATTTAATCAAAAACCCATCACTCTCATGGCCAATGAGCCAAGGCTGACTCATAGCAACCCCCTATGGATTTCTGAGCATGTAACTGTTTACAGGAGAAAAAAGTCCACTCTTTCTCCCATGGAGCTGCTGGTGATTTTGAACTGCTGACCACGCAGATGACAGGCCAAGGCTTAACCACTACACTACCAGGGCTCCATGATTAAACCCCTTAGGAAGAATTTTTAAATTGAATGTATATTTAATACATAAGGCATAGAAAGCACCAATAGTTATGATATCAGCCCCCAATTTTTCATCATTCATACTTGCTAATATGCAGGAGTCTTTTTAAACATAGATTTTAGTTCATCTCAAAGGATCACCTGCCAGTTGGTATGATTCTTTGGGTGTTGGTTGCTCTAAAGCAGGAGTGGATATCGGTTTCTTCTGCGTGTGGTGGAATCATAACCTTGGCTGTAGTGCACACTCACATCAAGGCATCATGTGGTTCTGTGGTGGTGTCTGTTTTCCTTCAAGGGCTTCTGTATCTCACACTTGAACAAAAACCCAACTTCCCAGTTTGGTTGTAGGCAGGAAAACCTTTAAATATATTAGGATGGTGTTAGCCTACCCATTAAGATAATCTAGAGTTTTGCTTGCCAGTTGTAAATAGTGATTGGCTGACATGTCTCTATATGCATGTAAATTGTTACACCCAAACACACACACACACACACACACACACACACACACACACATGCACACACATCTGCAGTTGCATTGACGCCTGAGGTAGGTAGTTTATTGTGCCAACCTGGCTGATAAACACATGTGGGGTTAATTGAAGGGCAGAGGGATAAATGACTCAGTGAGCCTCACCTTTCTAGTTCTCGGGTCTCTTGCTTTCTGATGGTCGGACCAGGGTGCAGCTGCCTTGGCCAGTTCCCTGCTTCAGCTGGCAGGGCTCACTTCCTGCAAGACATCCCTGAGAAGAAGCCACATGAACCTACCCCATGCAGCCCTGGGTGCTGGAGCAGCCGTGTGGAGACCCCTGCCAGTGCTGAGATGCTTACACATTCACTGACTTGGCTTTCCTCCTGAATCTCTTGATATAACATGGTGTTCCAATAGTCCTACTTATCCATTCAACTTTTCATTAGATTGGAGTCTCCAGGCATTATTAAATGGTCACGACTTGGGTGTCTTGGGACCCCTGGTGGCATAGTGGTTATGTGTTAGGCTGAGATCTGTAAGGTTGGCAGTTCAAAGTCACCAGATGCTCCTTGAAAGAAAGACAGGGCTTTCTACACAAAGGGGAAGTTCTACCCTGTCCTCTCGGGTCACTATGGGGTCACTATGAGTCAGCATCGACTCGTTAGCAGTGAGTGAGACGTGGGTGACTCTCACCCGCATGTCCAGAAAAAGGTGTTCCATTATTACTTTAGAAAGGTTTTGATAGCCTTAAGGACCAAATAAGTGATAAGTTGGGGAACAAGATATGGGGGTTGGCTCCAACAGGATAAATCATGGGCGTTTCCTAGTGGATGGCTTGCAGATCTTGGACAATTATCTTCCATCCTTTTCCTTTACTGGCAGCACTGGAGTATTAAAAATGAAACAGTAGGGTTTTAAAAGTCCAACATTTCAATACTTGGTTACCAATTTGTGCATTGATTTGGAGGCCTCTTATTTTGAGTGATATTGTTTGATTCTGAGGGGCACACTATCAGGCAATAATCAGTTAGATCTCTAAAAGGTGCCATTCAACTTGCTGGTCATCAAGAGACCCGAGTCACCATAGTCAACCTCCTTTTCTATGAGCTGCTAGCAGGGAAACAAAGAGCTCTGGTGACAAGGTTGAGTGTTCTAGCAGAGTAAGAGGTAGGCTTTCCATGTGTGTGCTGAAAACTAGGTTACATTCAGGTCTTGTATCTTTGCCTGCAGAAAATCTCTGCTTGTGACTTCTTTGATCAATCTTTACCCCAGAGAGGAGGTGAGCACTGAGGCATGTCAAGAGGGAAGTGGCCGCTCTGGAAGGTGGCTGGAAGCAAAGTTGCTTGGTGTTAGACCTTACCATCTTCCTTTGCAATCTTGGCTTTTTCTTTTCGTCACTATTATTTAGTTTCTCCCATTGTATGTGTGGGAGGCCACTACACGTCATTCTAGCCTTTTGGCAATGCTTCCTTTTGTCTTCTGAAATTTTTTCTCTATTTCTCAAGCATGTTGTCCAATAAAAATGGCATTTATCGTATGAACAGTGTCAGGGAACTCAGTATTGCCTGAATACTATAAAAAGTCTTTTAAAGAAAGCAGATGATTGAGGAGCTAATGCCGGGGGCTTAAGTGGAGAGGAAATGATTTAAGAATGATGAGGGCAATGAATGTACAAATGCGCTTTACACAATTGATGTGTGTATGGATTGTGATAAGAGCTGTATGAGCTCCTAATAAAATGATTAAAAAGAAAAAAGAAAGCAGATGATTATCTGATATATCTTCTGTTTTATATTACAAACCTTGTTTAAAGCATTCAATTTGGAAACTCTATTTTTAAGCCTACCAGCAAGCTGTCTTTATATTGAGGTAGTCTGATCCACATTTACTTATTTCTGATGAATATTTCTCTATATTTATGCAAATTCTTACAACCTGTACTTCTCTGCTCACCACCCCCCAAAGACCCTAATCTATAGTTGGATTTAAGCCTTGGTCCTGAAGTAGAACAATCACATCAAGTATTCGTTGCTGTGTTGCAAATCATGACATTTCTGTGCTTCTTCTCTGGCCTTATCTAAATCAGGAATTTTCCTCTGATGTCCATAAGATACTCAACACACAAAAAATCAAAACCAAACTGTCATCAAGTTGATTCTGACCCACAGGGACCCTGTAGGGCAGAGTAGAACTGCTCCTGTGGGTTTCCAAGGCTATATCTCTTTATGGGATTCGAAAGCTCCATCTTTGCCCCACAGAGCACCTGGTAGATTTGAAACCTTCTCATGGCTCTTGGTTTTGGGGTTTGTTTTTTTTTGGGGGTGGGGGATAGAGGCTGGGGATGGGGAAGGTGGAGGGAATGGTCGTGCTTTCTGTATAAGACCGTGGAGAACGGCTTTTTCTTTCTTCTTCCCTTCGTGCCTGGACTGCCTGCGTGGGTTGCTACCAGATTCTGCCAACTTCCATTGCCATGCGGTGCTGCCAGGTCCTCCTGCACCTCCTTACCAAGCATCACCAGGCCCTGGTATGCTCCACCACACCTCTGCCTTCTACCTCCTGCTGCTTTGGCTAGCAGGCCCTGCGGCTGTGGGAGTTGGAAAGCACCTTCACACATTGGACCCATGAACTACGTTAGACTGGGTCCTTTTCTTTCTGTGTAGGCTGTTCTCTTGTGATAAATTCTTTTCTCGGCATAAACTTCTCTACTTTTATATGTGACCTAGTTTTGTATCTCTAGAGAACCCAGTTTAGCAGTCCTTCACGTGGTACTGGGCCAGGCTGTGCTACACAAGATGATTTTTTCTTCATTGGACCATAGCCAAATTTACTCGAATTCTTTAAGATACATCCTAGGGATAAATACTCAGGAATAACCTCAATGATGCTATGAATAAATCTTACCAAACAAAACAAACAACAAAACAAAACCAGAATGGTTTATTTGATCCAAATGACTAATCAAATTAAAATAGAAACCACAAAGCCAAGGGTAGACTAATCAAACAGCCCAGCATTTACCGTCCTAAAACCTTCTTTAAATACTGCCTTCAATTTCAAATCCTCAACACAGATCCCACTGACATGCTGGCTTCAGCTGAATTACAGAGCCATCCTCCATGTCACTTACCCCAAAAACCAAGGCTCTTCAATCATGGTTTGAGGTGGATGTTGAGTCCAGATGGAGTTCCAAGTATTGAAACTGGGAGGAGGCCCTTAAAATCTCCATTGGGTGCCACCTCTTTCCCAGGCCCTACTATGCCCCAGACAGACCCTCTTCTGGATACTGAGGCAGGACTCCTGGATTCCTTGCCAAAATAACTTCAGTCTCCCAGGTCTTGCTCAGTAGGTCTTACAGATGCAAAGTGGTTTTATTGGTTGGCCTATCAAAGGACCATATTGAGACCTGAATCACCAAGATGGTCCCTCAAATAACAGCCATACAGGTTCACCTAAGAAGGGAAACTTGACCCAGGGTCTACCTATGGAAAGGACTCTGTTACTGATGGGGCAAAGTAAAATGGGTCGTTTGGGGAGGCTCTTTGCATGATTTCAGGATTTTTGTGGCCTGAAGATAGTTTTGGGGAAGATAAAATGGCAGAATTCCTCCCAGGAGCAATAATTCATCAAAAGGGTAAGTTGGCCAAATCTATACATATGAAAGCTGGTTGATTTGGTTGGAACCAGTTCTTTGCCCCCAGCCTCCTTTTCTGTTTTTTAAAAAGCTCCCTGGAACTCTTAGAAGAGAAATACTATAAAAGACCTTAATTGGTATTAAGAAATGATGCCATGTAGTGGTTCTAGGTGATGTTAAGCACTTGTCTCCCTTCACCCAGGGAACTCTTGCTATGGCTGGAACATGTGAAATGTCTATGTGGAATAGTAGCAACTGAGAAGCATTTAGTTGAGAAGGTGGCAAATGGCTTCTTCAAGAAAGCTATCACAGAGTGTGCCTGTTTAGTCAATGGGGAGCCCGGGAATGGTGTGAGATGAGGAAATAAGGTGACATTATTATTATTTAGAAATGCAAATACAGTGAAAATTTGGTAGATTAGTTTCAATAGCATACAACAGAAATACTTGGAAGACTTATTAAAACAGAGTTGCGGACTCAGCAGGTTTGGGGTGGGGCCTGAGAATTGCTTCCACAAGTCCCCAGATGAAGTGATGTCGCTGGTCGGAGGACTATCCTTTGTGAGGGTCGTGTAGGAGTTCAGGAGGCAGACTGATGAAGCGTGCGCGGAGGTGTACTAAAGAGCATTCAGCTGAGAATGGGCAGTAGAAATGGAGAGGGGATACATTATTTAGTGATAGATTATGAAGGTATAGTTGACCTGATTAACTATCTAAGATTTTCTCCAACTTATATAGATGCTTACACCATGCTGATGCTACTGACAACTGAAATAGGGACTCGAGGAGCCTTTCTCTCTTCCAGTCCTTTGGTGGGAACGTGGGAGAGGATGGATAAGGTTTTGGAAATATTCAGGTTAAGGTGTCTGTGGAGAAAACCAACGCTAGATACCGTATACCACTTGAGTGTAAGCTGACCCGAATATCAGCGGAGGCACCTACTTTTACCGCAAAAACGGCATTAAAAATGTGCTGAAAAACTCGTGTATAAACACGAGTATATACGGCATATCGATTTGGGGAAAAAGATTTAAATGCCCTGTGTGAATTATATTAACATAGCATATTAAAGTATATTAACATTTGGGCTGATAACATTTAAGTCATACATTTTGGACAGACACGTTTTCACTCAAGGATAATCTAAACGCTTTGATTGTAAATGTCAAAATCCGAAATAGCTGATAGTATTAATCAGTTTGAAATTTTAAAAATCCTCCAGTAATTGAAAAAGCACGACAAAAGAACGTCAGTAACTGAACAAAGACTTCAACAGGAGAGTATGTATATCCATCCCTCAGAAATTACAATAACCAAAACGTCAGTAACTGAACAAAGACTTCAACAGGAGAGTATGCATATCCATCCCTTAGAAATTACAATAACCAAAACAGACTTCTTTCCTGGCGTACACGGGAATTTGAGCACTCATTAATTACAATGCTCATGTTTGTTTTTGAGCACTCATTAATTACAATGCTCATGTTTGTTTTTGAGCATTCATTAATTACAATGCTCATGTTTGTTTTCCTAGGGCATACCAAACGCTGAGTTGACATTCTTTTGAGATTGCTTCTAGCTAGTATAAGGAAGAAGATAGGGTAATTTGTCCTTAATTTTCTTTTTCTAATAACAGGGATTAAAAAAAAAAACTAAATGGGAAAGGATAAATGGAACATCCTTAAATTATTTGTTTCATTTCTGTTACGATTGTCTACATTAAAAATCAACCATGAGCTTTTGGAAAACCTATTCACATTTGAATAGCTAAAATTCTTTCCTTTTAACACATTCAGTATGGTTGTGCTTATATTAAAGCAGATCAGATCTTCTGCTCTGGAATTTTTGCTCTGCCAAGCCTGAAAGAACTGGTTTTCCAGTTCCCTAGCATGATCAGCACAAAATGTCCTTTCAGGCACACAAGACGATGGATCGCTAGTGAGAAAGCTAGCGAATCTGCAGCCATGGCTTAGCAGCTAGAAATCACTTATGGAATTAACAAGGCAAGAGAGAACACAGACTGGGTGACTAAGTAGGATTTTGAAAGGTCGCACATTTTAGTTGAACCCAGGGAATGTTTAATCTGTAAGCAAGATATGCACCAGCTTAGAGTAACTGAGGTATGTGAACATACACTTGTGCTTATTAACTTCTCTGCAGTGTCCAATTTCACCTGGGTTGCACCTGTGCCAGACAAAGGGACTGGATTTTAAACGATCAAATGAAAACCAAACTCAATTCCAACCAGTTGATTCCAACACCTCACACTATTAAGTGCGAATGTAACGGACCCATCAGGCTTCCAAAGCTATAGCTCTGCTGGCATCACAGGGCCACATCTTTCCACCTGGAAGCAGGCGGCAGCATCAAGTTCCTAACCTTCTGATTAGCAATAAAGTACTTTCTTGTATGCAACCACTGTGGCACCAGGGCTGCTTGGATCTTAAAAGAGGTAGTGCCGAAAGATAAGAAACAGACCATAAAGGTGAGCTGCTTGTGTTGACAAAGTCTTAGAGCAAAGGAAGGCAACAGTGCATCGTTCAAGCAAAGCTAATTTTAGTTCCTCATCAGGCACGTGCTCTCTTGGTGAATAATTGTAATCCAATTCATCGTTCCTCTGAAAAAGCCATTTTGTACTTTTATTTCCTTCCACATGATCTCTCTGCAGTACAAGGGGTTAGCAACATCTGCTTGAGTTAAGACAACTGATAGTTCAACATTTTTACAATATTCCACCTTGTAGCCCGCTACTATACCTGAAAGGCACATCTAATTTCAGGTTGGCCCTTCTTGTATACCAGGTGAGCTGAGGCTGGTGTATAAAATCCCCCAAAGGAAATGATACTTCAAAGCTTCTCATTAAACAAACAAACACAACCAACAAGAAAACTGAAAATAATTGACTCCTCAACTGAGAGGATTCAAGAAGTCTCATGACTTAGCCCCAGTGGTAAAACTGCGGCACAGGCCCCTGGCTAGCCTATGATTGATGACATTCTGACGGTGGCTGTCCGTCCCTCTATCGGCAGGAACACTGGACAGTGGATCCCAGGATCGTTGGTTATTGGTTGCTGAAGTCCAAGGGTGAACGATACTTTACAATGATGTCTCCATTAAAAAAAGTTTAATTTTTCTGTCTCTTGATAGGCCTCAGCTATCACACATATACAGTAGAAACACACTCTGCAATTCCTAAAAGGGAAAAAAGAAAAAGGAAATTGTTAGCATTAGGCTATGCCCTCTTTAGACGTCATTCAATGGATCCTACTTTATCAGGTGATTAGACAGTAGTTACTTGGCTGCTGGGTGTCTTTGGGTGGATTTCAACTCCCACAGAAAAGAACACAACTGTCTCAATGGTTTCTAAAAAAGCTCACTGCCATCATCGAGTTAATGCTGACTCATCGTTACCCCGGTGGATTTCTGAGCGTGTCACGGTTTCTGGGAGTAGAGAGCCCAGCCCAGTCTTTCTTCCGGAGCTGCTGCTGGCTCCTAAGGGCGTAGTATTACAGAAATAGATGATGACACAGCTCTCCCCAATGGACTCACCACTGGTGTTTTTGTTTTGTAACGAACTTTTCTAGTCCTATAGAGAAGTGCAGTCTCAGAAACCCAGAGGGACAGTTCTACTCTGTCCTACATAGGTGATTTCAGGTTGGCCCTTCTTGTGTATCACATGAGCTAAGGCTGGTGAACCAAGTCCCCCAAAATAAATGATAGTTTATAGGCTTCTCATTAAAAAAACAAACACAACCAACAAGCAAACCAAAAATAATTGATTCCTCAACTGAGAGGATTCAAGAAGTCTCATGACTTAGCCCCAGTGGTAAAACTGCGGCACAGGCCCCTGGCTAGCCTATGGCTGATGGCATTCTGATGGTGGCTGTCCATCTCTCTATCGGCAGGAACACTAGACAGTGGGTCCCAGGATCGTTGGTTGTTGGTTGCTGAAGCCCAAGGGTGAACGATACTTTACAATGATGTCTCCATTATAAAAAGTTTAATTTTTGTAACTGACTTGATGGCAATGAGATTTCTGAGAAGCTTCTTTAATAGTCAATAGGTCAAACATAAATATTTCAGATGTTTTATTATTCTCACAATCTGAAAGGTTTAATTTTTAAGAGTTGGATATATGTTAGAATAATTTGTAACAAAAAATAAAGGGATTGCTTAAATATCTAACGTCAGCTTGGGTCTAGCTTACTTGAGAAAACTTAACCAAGTTTTTAAAATACAGCTTCAACCCCACATTTAAATGGTGTTTGGTTAATGTTTTCTTATTTTTGCAAGCTTGTTATTCAGCACTTTTTGTATTTGTTTATGTCTCTGATTTCTAGTGGACATAGTGTTAAGATTTTCTATGTGACAAGGGACATATAAATACCTTAGGAACAATTTTAATACTTAGATTAGTCAACTGAAGGATTACTTTGATTCTAATGAAAGTGTGATTCTTGATAATCTTGCTAAATTTCTGCATAACATGCAAATAAAATTCAATGTACACAGATTTAAAATTCAAATTTGGAACTAAAAGGCATTCTGGAAAATTCAGCCACCTAAATGGGATGTTTACCAAGATTTTGAATTAGACAGCATTGATAAATTATTATTGTGTTTTATAAGCTGTGCTCATTATATTTTATTTGTTCTTACTAATCAGACATCCCTCTTCTGGGAGTATTTTAAAACATGAAAATGTGCAATAGTTTTCTTTAAAACTACTTTTAAATTTTATTCATTGATTAAAAGATGGAAATTACTGTTGTTAAAATCATAGTCAATTGTCAGTATATAGGAACCCTATTGTAAACTGACAATTTAATCATTTTAATACTCTCAAAGAGTTTCTCTCGATTTTTAGCCTGGATTTAAAATATATAAATTTATTACCTACCACAAACATTAGCTCCCATTTTTACATGGGCATAGCCATCCACTCCCCATGAATTTCCCCATGAGTTCCGGACTATCCAATATGGAATACTTCCTGTGGAACAAATGGTAACAAACACTGTAACATTCATATTCGTGAATGCATATGCATCTTTAAACTTTGTTTTTAAAAAATAAATATTGCAGTTCTGAAAAAGGATAAAAATGCATTTCTAACTTAAAAATTGCTCAGGAAATTAGTTATAGGTGGCATAACATTCTACACAGAAGAAATACAAGGGGCTTCAAAAAGTTAATGGGAAAATGAAAATAACATATAGCAGAATTTTCAATGGGAGCAGACCCACAACTAAATATAAGCTTGATACAGAATATTAATACATGAATATTCACCTTTGGTGCAAATATACCCATTGATAGGTAGAGTGTACAGGGTGCATAAGAAAAGATAATGGAATTTTTCCTCAAATTTTCTGAAGCTCCCTTGTGTATGTTTAAATTAATTTCCCTTATTAAAGAGGGCACTACATAAAATGAAGAGACACACATTTCTAGAGAATTAGGGGGGAAACTCCTAGAAATGTACAATAAAAATATAAGCATGGTTTTTTTCCAATAACTATCTCAAACATCACAGATGGAAAATGCATGGAGTTTAAATCCAGACTGTCATCATTTAACCAAGATATCCACAAAAATATACAGATAGAACTTTGCATTTACATCTATAAGTCTACTGAAAAGCAGGGAAGGCTCAAGTTACACCACTGTAAGAAAATATCGATCATTTAGCAATCAGTTTCAAGTTGGAAAGTAATCAGCACATACCTGTTTTATCAAAGCCAGTTACAAGAACTGCATGATTAGCTTCTCCACTCGAGCAATGATGCTGGATTATGCCTCCCAGGTAATCCTGCCAGCTCACGGCATCTACTACAACCACTAAAGGGCCAAAAGTAAGAAGCGCTTTTGCCATTTCATCTTCCTGGTCACTACCAAAAAAGGAATCATTTGATTAATGCGTACGTGTATTTCTTTGTCTGTGTTACATTAAAATATTTTTAAAGGGGGCCTTTAGGAGGAGGTTTGGTTGCAATTACAAAACAGCTAAAAATTGGATGCTAGAAATGTGGGCTTTTGGGAGTCCAACGCTAGTAAGAGATCAAGGTTGTCATGAGACACACAAGTTCTTTCTATATTATTTTCTGCAACGTGAGGATTCTGTTCCCCAAATCAGTGCATGGTCCAAGATGGACGCAAGAGTTCCAGCCATATTCAGACAGCAAGAAGAAGGGAATTAGTGCCATGTCTTTGTTGAGACGATTTCCCAAAAGCAACACACCGCCCTTCTGCATGAAGCTGCATGGATCTGATAGGCTGGAGCTCAGCACCTCAGGAAGATGAGAAATGAAGTTGTGAAGCTGCAAAGCTCTTATCTAAAATATACAGATCAGTTTGATAAGATCAGAAGTAAAACTAGATACTTAAAAGCATCGTATTATCTCTGAAATACCATGTGAGAATCAAGATACCAACCAATTTATTTTGTGGTTGTAGAAATTATATGGACACACTACCTGAAATGGTTAACATAGGGAGAAAGGAGGAACTGATCACAATGATCGACATATTAACCCACCTGCCCCCGCCCCCAGGCTGATGAACAACAGAAACATGGGTGAAGAGAGATAGAGGATGGTGTAAGATATGAATGCAATAATAATTTATAATTTGTCAAGGGTTCATGAGGTTGGGAGAGTGGGGGCGGGACAGAAGAAATGAGGAGCTGATACCAAGGGCTTAAGTAGAAAGAAAATGTTTTGAAAAAGATGCTGGCACATATGTACAAATGTGCTTGACACAATGGATGCATGGATTGTTATAAAGCTGTAAGAGCACCCAATAAAATGATTTTTTAAATGGTTAACATAATCATATAACAGAAGAAATATTAAAATGCCAAAGAAAGAGGTGGTAGAGTTTTTAAGATGCAAAGGATACAGTGCTTTGCTTTCACACATGGACATTTATTGATAAAGACTTATGTTAGGCTTTATCCATTTTAATAGCCCTTATAATGCAGTCCATTATGATCGTATCAACCCTAAAGGATTTCATAGAACTGCCCTATACAGTTTCCAAGGCCATAACTGTGGGAAACAGTAAGATTTCTCCCAATGTCTCCCCCAAATATGTTAGACTTAGGACATATTTGATAAATGATTGTCAAGCTACCTCCCTGAAGGCAGTCAGTTGCCAGACT